TGTGTCTGATGTTTCATTAGAGGCTAACTACACTCTTTCTTGCTAGGAAAAAAAACATGCCAATAATCCTAATAATACTGTGGATGTGTGTTTGTGGTTATTTGCAGATAAAGCAATGTGTGTCCAGAGGAGAAATATTTAATAACTCTCCAACATACCAGACATGAAGGCAGGCAAGAATGGCCAGGAAAATGCCACAAACGAGAGCGCAGGGCACAGCAAAAAGCAAGGAGAGGCACTGGTACGTCCAGATACGAGCATTCTCAAAGCCAGTGATGCTGTAAATCCACACTTGGTCTATGCTGTGAGGTTTGCTGGGTTCTGCCAACACATCACTGACCTCCACCTGTAAAAGGTAACAGGAGAGAACGCTGAGGCTGAACACAATAAACTAGCCAAAGTTAATTCAATTTTTATCAGGATAGTTTCAACTGCTATCTTGATCAGTTAGATCTTTAACATGACAACCATGCACAATGTGCTTTGGGAACACGCAGGTTTTGGTTTGTGTATCTGTACTGAAAGCTATTTCATTCCTATTCCTAGATATTCCATTATAACAGAAATAATTTATTATATTTTATGTTTTTTCACTCAGACAACTCATGTTGGAAACTATGTTTGCAGCAGGAAATTATCTGGAATATCTGTATCTGAGCGATCACTCTGGGAATACCATTCACAGCATTTCTGGTCAGCTTAATGTTATATTAAAAATAATTAAAAAATAATGTAGTTAACTTCAAAATAAAACAATATAAAATGATTTAAATTCGTTTTATTATCAAAATATCACAAAGTTTGGGAAAATGAAATGTGTCATGTGTGGCTTATCTGAGATTTTCTGTTGCATTAACTCTTTCAATCAATAAGGGTTATTTCACTGCTGTTTTGTTGTGTTCTTTGGGGTTTTATTTGTGTCATCTATAGATTGTCCCATTTAACTCTTTCCAAAGAGAAAGAGCCCCCTCCCAAAAAAGCCAAAAAGAAACCCAGGGGAAAAAAATAAATAAACAGGGACAGGGACAGGGACAGGGACTGGGACAGGGACTGTCTGTCGGATGGGAAAATGAGGGTGAAAATGATTGTGTAGCCTCACAAGCAGCATTTTAAAAACCAAGATAGTCTTATAAAGAGTGTACAAATTCCCCCAAAATACTTTTTTATCTCAGATATTTTGTCTTAGATATAGATAACAGTTCTGAGACTGGTCAGATCCAATTAGAAGGTTAAAAAAACAATTTTCTGGTAGGACTTTGTCTATGCATGTGACATCTGGATTTTAGGACTCAAGGGCAGATGTTGTGACAAAGCAGACTGATAATAAAGAGAACAAACATCAGGACCTTTAGGTGCTGGTTGATACCACGAGGATCCCTGCTGACAGGACGAGTGGCTGCTGGTGTAGGAGGAGCAGCAGGTGGAGCTGGAGCTATGGGTGGAGTCGGGGCCCTGGGTGTAGTCAGAGCTCCAGGTGGAGTTGGAGCTTTGGGTGCAGGGGTTGAGGATTTGGATGCAAACTCTGGGGGAGGAGGGGGAGTGTTTATCTGTTCTTCCCCTCCGTCGTCTTCATCGCTGTCGTCAATCTTACACTCCACCAGGCAGTCGTCGCTCACCATCATCATCTTCGCTAAAAGCAAATGTAAATGTTTGCATTCGAATCACGCAGAATTGTTGAAGCCAACTAGATTCAACCCACAGACAGAGAGACTCACTCCTCCAGCTGATTGCAGGCCAGTGTAAAAGCGAGCTGAGCTCTGGCACTTCCACCTGTTCTTCAGCCTCCCGAAAAAGAAGTCAGTCCAAAATCTGTAAATAGCAGCTGGTAATTTTAAGACGCCATTTTTAAATGGAAAGCTCTGCAGTGCGGCCAGTGGTCGCATTAGATACAGTGCAGCCAGTGGTCGGATCTAACACGCGTGCATTTAGAACATTTCTATCAAAAAGGTGAAAAAGTATATCAGTGCGTCCTATGAAACTTTCAATTCAAGATTTACGATTCACCACAGAGACAGCAAAGATATGAATAAATCATGTCTGACTTACCTTTTTTTTTAAAAACAAAATGCTATCTTAATCCTTTCTCACTGACAGAGACCCTCAGAGAGAGAGAAAGATGGGGCAGGGTGCTCTGCTTTGTGCTAATCTGAAATGTCAATGAGATCAGTTCAGCGGCTTCATCACAATGTCCCTCGAAGCTGAAGTGGAATTTACAGGACATGCAGAGACACAACACAGACACCTACAGTGTCTGACACCGACTTAGTGTGTCAGGAGTGCAAATGCGGTACAGTAGCTCTATGTGTGTGTGTGTGTGTGCGTGTGTGTTGGGTGGCTGTGTCAAGGGGTTATTTTAGGAGAAGGAGCAGACGGGTCCGAATGATCGCATTACAGAATTGGTGTGGTTTCCTAAAACAGAAACAATGACACATGCACCCACAGAGACCAATTATGTCGTAAACATGTTTCAATTAACATTAATACAACACTGATTCACCACAGTGATGAGTCAGACTGCAAGAGAGACTGTCACACGCAGGAAGTTGGGGTTGCTTATTTTTCCAGAGGCAAAATCTTTGAGTGACTACTGGAGAGCCATGTTCAGAAGCACAGCGCAACCACTTGTACCCCCATCATGCCCGAGTTCAGCTGAACCACGTGTGGCAGTCACACCAGTCAAATGAACAACAATCCCCTTAAATACAACAACAATCTGTTAACCATTCATCACTTTGTCATCTTTATTCATTTTTTTTAACCACATATACAGTTGGACGCAGTAAACTTAGTGACATCATCGAACAGTGATCCAGAACAACAGGGTGTTTTAAACATAGATGCAGAATCAATAAAAGAAGGGAAAACAAAACAACTCTTCTTTCATTTTTCCAATACTGAAACACAAAAAATGTGAGATGATGTATGTAAGATTTTAAAATGCTTTTAGAGTCAAAGGAGCTGTTCACCTCGCTGCAGGAATCCTGAAACACGTTTGAATGGGACCTGTGGGGAAAAAACATGCTTCCTGGTCCTAAAAATAAAGCCAATGCAGAAGTGCCTAAAAACCTGCATTCTCTCTGAAGGCCACCAGATGGCAATAGCTGTTGTTGAAAAAGACTGTAGGGGTCTTTGGGTAAAACTTTACTTTAGTCACTTGTTTTGGGTCATATACAATAATAATAAAAAGTAAAATCTTGGTTATATCATGTCTCAAAAAGGAAGATTAGCAGTGGCATTTTCTGCTCATGCACTGTCTAACGACTTGTCAGTCACAAGATATTGAGCAATGAGCAAGCAGTTTCACTGCTGCTTGTCCTCATTGGAGCCAGTGTCTTGCAACCAAGATGGCGACAACAGAAATGTTCATCTTGTGGCTTCAAAACGGGACCTCAGACACCAACAGGTGACATCACGGTAGCTACGTCCATGTTTTATAGTGCCTATGATGATGCCATAAACACAGCAAGGGGGGCCCAAAGTGTGGATGAATGAGACAAGAGTTTCAATCGTGGCACCAAAATGGCGCCATGGTGTTCACAGTTTAAATCAGAGAAAGAGTCGGACACCTCTCTGATATAGGGGCCGTTTTGGCTCTCGAGACAAGGGCACAGTTTCCAGCTGAAGAGTAAGTCGACCTAAGACCTGAGAGAAAACCCTTTCTTATTCCTTCTAAGCCAAACCTGAGTTAGCCTGTCCTTAACTCTGCATAAGCCCTGAGATTTGGCCAACATATCAGGCCACGTCACATATGAAGGGGAATGTGTTTTTCTTCTCTGTGTTTTTTCAACACAACATGCTGTTATGCAAAGACCAAGTATACCAACCTCAATGCTAACAGCGTATCTAGCTAACACACACGGAGTCTCAAAGTGTTCAGTTTTCAATAAATTAATATGAAATAAACAATCAACAGAATAATAAATGTAAATGTTAAGTTGTAATTTGTGAGATGATTTAGGATATAATCATCATAAAAAGTTGTTTGATCATTTTTTTAGCTTGAAAGGAATTTTTCAAAAAATATTCACAAAATATTAAAAAAAAAAACTTTCTGTTTTATTATTTTTTTTCTCCAATAACACACTATTTAATGACAGAGGTGTTTTTCACTACCTTTTTTTTTAGCAGTATGCTACCGTCCTAAAGCAGCTAACCTTGCTAGCTGTTGAGCTAGCAGGGTTAGCTGCTAACCAAACCAAACCAATTCTAAATTAGCTACTGCTGTAACTCCAATAAACTTATTTTATATAAAGCAACAACTATGATGTGCCTAGCATATTGTTCTCCAAAAAGAGTCAGCTGGAAAAAACAAATGGGTTAAACAGTAAACTTTCGTTAACTGGTGAAATAGTTAGCTGATGTCATATAATCAATCATGTTTAAAATCGGCCATTTCCTGTTCCATACAAACCATATTGGATCAGTGTTTTTCCAGGTATACTGCTAATAACTTAAACTTTCTAAATGAGGCCTGTTCACTCAGTTGTAGCTCATATCACTTCGGGATAAATTTCCCGGGACATTCACTCCTGAGAAAATTGACAACATTCCTAAATATTTATCACTTGTAAATATTCCTTTCCACTGTAGAATGATGGACTTCAGACTGTTTGGAATGTGTAAAAAAAACCTTTCCAGACTGATGGACAGCAACAGATGCCTCCCAAGATCACTGCAGATGATACATGGTGACACTTGCTTGTTGATTCAGTTAATCAGGTGGATTTAAATAGCAGCACCTGGACACTATTTCTGTTACTTCATATGAAAGCAGTAAAGGAGTACTTAATTCTTCACACACTTCAATACCTCAATAAAATGTGTTGTATTTTGTATTTCATCTGAGGCTTTATTTACTTAATTTTAAGATCTGCTAAAGATTATTTTTATTATGCAGTGACACGTCAAACCTTTAGAATTGAAACAGGGAGCACTTTCTTTTTATCATGCCACAATGTTTTGCTGCTAATACTGAACACTTTGGGTTCCATACACATCTGCCTGGGTCACATTTTTATTATAATATGCAGAATTGAAAATTATCAGATCTTTTCAAGTGAATTAAACATGTAGAGTAAAAGATGTGAAGGCACTCCTAGACACAGGCCCCAGATCAGTTTTCTTTTCTCTTTTAAATAAGGAAAAAGGTTTTTGGGTGAACTGATCTCAGACCTGCCACTAGGGGGCAGTTTTAGTCTTCTGTTGTTGATGTACAGTTAGTATCATGGCAACTGTGTTTAAATAGTCAGTCTGGTGAAGTCACATCCCTGATTCTTCAAAAATCCCAAAAGCATGGAGAACAAAAGCAGACCAGGCCATAAAAAAACAACAACAAAGCAAAAAAAGAGACCAAAACCAGACACACTGGACATACACGGCACAGAGAATAGTGGCACTATGAGATGGCAGAGACTCACTTATTATACACATGTCCAAAAAAAAAAAATGGGAAAAAACAGAAGAAAAAAAAATCAAGATCTTTCCCAAATGCACAATTGGCATCAGCGGGATAATTATCATTGTCAGACAATGAATCAATAATTTCCTGGCTGTCCCCTCCTCAGTCTCAGTCCACCGGTCTGAAAAGGGCCCGTCCCCTGAGACCGAATCCTGCTTTTTTGGCCACAGGGGCAGCCTGAGGAACAGAGGAGGAGGTGGACAATGAAGAGGAGGAAGAGGAGGGTGCAGGGGCTGCAGTGGCCACAGGTGCAGTGATGCCGGACCCCTGCAAGGGAGGCTGGCGAGACAGGAGCTCCTTGAACACCGAGTTCATCTGACGGTTGATCATCTCCTGAGAGAGCGAGAGGAGGAGGAGGAGGAGGGGAGGTGAACATCAATGTTTTTCTGTTACATACTGCATTATTCTACTGCTGCATCCTGACACTGTTAAAGACTGGAAGGTCCTTTTTTTCATCACTTTTTTGTGAAGGCTCTAACTTAGAATCTCATAACTGAGCGACTCTGAAGGTGGAGTTTTGTATACAAAGTCAATTTAATCTAGACTTTAACAGAAAGTCCACTGACTGAACAACATAAGTTGCTGGTGGTGTTCTCACTGCAGAATGAATTCACTCTCACATCTAACATCATAGTTACTTACTCAGAATCAAGAAGTGATGTGATCCAAATATCATATAAAGCAGCGGTCCCCAACCCCCGGGCCACGGACCGGTACTGGTCCGTGAGTCGTTTGGTACCAGGCCGCCAGAGTTGTGGCTCTGGGGCTTTTATCATTAACTCGGTTTCCCGTGTTGAAGTTGTGTGTCTTATTTTGAAAGAAATATTTATGCGTTACCATAGCGACCAGAGAGCTTTAAGGGGCAGAGAGGAGGATGTTATTCTCAATGTTGTTGGTGCACTTCAGGACGCTGCTAATAAAGTTACACAATCACACAGTGAATTTGCGTTTATTATTATATTTACAAAATACCACAGTTTTTGTCTTGATCGTATCATTTTATTTTGTTGTATTTATCACCGACACCTTAAAGGCCCGTCCGTAAAAATATTGTCTGACATTAAACGGTCTGTGGCGCAAAAAAGGTTGGGGACCGCTGATATAAAGGACCATTTCCAAGAAAATGGATGGTGTCATTCTTTGTTTAGATTATTGGAGTGTTTTATCACATGCGTTACTTGTCCAATTTAACAAGGATGGAAAGAGTATGAGGAAATTGCTCTCAAGAAGTAATGCTACACAACCACACACTTATTATGTGAAAACATGCTTTGATTAAACATTACTGTATGCTGGGAAATAATTATGTGATGATAGTAATGCCTTAGAGCAGTGATTGATCATGCATGGTTTGCAGTGGTGGTAAGTGGTTAGTTAAGTTACTGTGCAGGTTGACAAAAATGTGTCACTTGGAACAAATATGGCAACTGATTGTTTAAATAAATTTTTTAAAGCAATCTGAACTAATAAATGAAATGAACTAATAAAAACAGCCGTGATGAAGACCTCAGAGTTTCAGTGGGCTCCAGAGGATTTTCAGATTTTTCTATCTAGAGCCCTTCTCTGTAAAATAAAAAATACTTCCCCTCTCTAATCATCAGTTCTGAATATATATAACCGCCTTTCTCACAGTTGCATTAGTGGTGTTAACCAGAAAGAAGAGCAAAAAAAACCCCAAAGCCCACCACGGCTGCTTTTAATAGTCTTTATGTAGTAATACCAACCTTCATAAATTGCACCAACATCTACTTTTAGACTATGTGAGTGCATAATAAACCCCCAGTAAAGCAAGCCAGGACAGAGATGCAACTCTAAAACTAACATTTTAAAGCAAAAATAGACCTGCAGCTGTGAGCCACAATGCAAAAGTCTCTAATATAAATCTAACGTCAACGAGCAAAACTAGCAAGCTAACACTCGTCAGATGAAACATCGTAAAAAAACACCACCAGCAAAGTTACTGCTTCATATTGTGCATACATTTGAACTTCTGGATGTTTTTTATAAAAAGTCATACCCACATTTTAGAATTTTTCGTAATGTAATGCTTTTGTTTTGGTTGTTAACAAAGGGTTGAATATGTTACACCGCTAACCTTATCAATTGGTGTTCTTTCTGCCTGAATGAATGGAGGTCTGTCAGGGGGTCTGAAGTTTCCCTGTCTCAGAGTGTCCAACGTGTGCCTTCGCTCCTGAGACCTGAAAGAAAAAAACATAAACAGCTTAACAGAGATGTTGAAAGACACGGGCAGATGCCACCTCTGATCTGAACCTTACTTTAATGTGTTGGAAAAGTTTCTCTCCATCTTCTCATGCTATAAAGACTAAAGTTTTGGGCTTTGCCTCATTTATTCCACAGCTGAATTGTGCAATTGTGGAAAGCAGTGTTCTGACCTGCTATGTTACTTTCTAGGCTGTAGCTCTGCTTTTCCACAATCTGATTCCGAAATCCACAAATTCCTCATCCTCAGCAGCAGAAAGTGCTGCTCCCGCCTAAACCTGTAAGCAGCTGCAGCTCTTCTCAGAAATACTGTGGGGATGAGCCAAATCGACAAATTTCTGCATCAGTGTGTCGGGCTACTGATACAAAGACACAAGGACACCGGCACCATGAAGTAAAACTAAAAAATACAAGAGTAGTGACTAGCAGTTTAACCCAGAATAGTGCACTGTTATTAAGAGTTCTGAAACATTAAAAAAACAAAACAGACAGCCGCTCTACTCTTAAGATTAGGCTTAATTTCCTTTTTGACAAAGCTTATAGTTAGGGCTGGATCAGGTGACCCTGAACCCTCCCTTACTTATGTTGCAATAGGTCTAGAGTGCTGGGGGCTTCCCATGATGGACCGAGTGTTTCATCTCCGTTCACCTTTTTTTACTCTGTGTTTATACACCAGTCTGCATTTAATTATTATTATTTTTTATTATTAATCACCCACAGCTTGTCTTTTATTCCTCCCCCAACTCCCCCACCCCCAACTGGTCAAGGAAGATGGCTGCCCCTCCCTGAGCCTGGTTCTGCTGGAGGTTTCTTCCTGTTAAAAGTGAGTGCTCAATCCTAGCATTCGTTTCAATGTCTCACCATGGGATGCTCCTCCCTGCGTATTTCTCAAAAGCAACAGTCTCATTCCACCAATCCTGATTGGCTGGTGATTGCCACAACCACTTCGGGAAAAATCACCCACCCTTAAATAGTTTACACTTTTACATAGACGTCATTGTAGGGTCCTTACGGTACTAAGAGCCTTGAGTTATGATTGGGTGCTATATAATAAACAATTGAATTGAAGCGAATTATTGTGCAGGCTGTCAGATTGCTGTTTAACTCAGCTGTCAATGCCAGGTGAGAAGCGTGCACCTTTACTCTGGAAGAAGCTGTAAAACTTTGGGAAAGTTAATGAGAATGCATCAGTTTGTTTCAAGTTCTGTGTAGACTTATGATACAGTTTTTTGTAATACATAACCTAAAAAAATTACTGAATGTACCTGACTGTAAGTGGAAAAAAATGAGATATTACAGTGGATGTAATATGCCTTCAGTTTGCAAATGACCAGATGTATGCAAAGACTGTGTACTACTATGTAAATGGTAATGTTGCACATTGTTTGTATAGACAGATGCACACGTATATAGATAATGACAGTTTTATTTTCTCCCACTGTAACCCTCAGTAAGCAGTCCAAACAGAGGGTGATGTGGTGCTGTACAAAAAATGTAATGCAAAACCTTCGTGGCTCTCACGTGTACATTACTTCCCCTCATGCAGTTTTTTCCTGAACAGAGTTTATCCACAGTCTCAACTGGCTGCAAGCCTAATTTATATCAATCTGAGTAACGCTGCACATGCATGAGGCCTGCAGTGCGTCAAGATAGGTGCGAGTCTTACACTGGCAGGTGTCGTGTGGCGGGGGAGGTTGGTGGCTTTCGACTAGGGCTCCCCTCACTTCCTCTCTGCCGTCCTGGCAACGAAGCGCTATCGCTGTTCACCCGCATCCTGTGAAGACACACACAGAAACTTCTGAACTTTCAAGTCTATTTACGCACACGAGCTTATATGCTTCTTTGTACAAAAATGTGGAGCTGGGTAGACGTATGAGTTTGTGTACTTAGATGTTTATGGCTATTACATGTTTTTAATAAACCGCAGTGTGCATTTGAGTGTGTTTGTTCGTCTGTGTATGCTTCTGTGTACCGGGTTGTGTTCTCTGTCTGTGGATCTTCTGCTGTCAGGTTTCCAGTGCTGCCTCCTCCTCCACCTCCTCCTCCTTCTTCTCTTTTCCCTCGATCTGACCTAAGGGAGGAGAAGGAGAGAGATATATATTTCACGAGAGAAAGCACAAGCAGTACAGTTTTAAATATGGGATGAAGACTGAGCAACAAACGTTTTGTAGGAGGGACCAGCAGCAGAGGTGAACTTATGTGTGACAAGAACAAAATAACTTCAAAATAAAGCAACAGCTCCTCAAATAAGAAAATGACCTTTGAGAAACTTGTGATGTCCTGATGGTGCTTAGTCTGCACTGATATTTAATCACCCTCCTGGGAATGTTTGAGGCCACAGTTTTTAACTTTGATAAATGTTGGATATCATAGCACTGTTATCTCTTCATATCTGTATTAGAGATAACTGGGGATTGGTATAAGGCGCTATGAATTAGATATGCAGTTCAGACACCTACACACAAGCAGAGAATATGAATTGATGCTGAAATACTTTCTCTCTCCACTTGTGGGTTTTAAATTCTACCAGTTTATCTGATTTAATGGCATCCAATCAGCATACACACACACACAGACGCTGTTTTTCTTTCATTTTGTCACTTCCTGTCACTTTAACTGGTAAAGAATATTAGTGGGGCCATTTGTAATGGAGAGGTCCAGTTCAGTGAATCGAATTACCCAAGGTGCCCGTGTCGGCACTTGTCGTTCAAAGCAGCCACACTCCTAACTTTAAACCTTAACAGTATCCAAACGTATGAGTTATTAAAGAAAATCTATCCAGTCATACTGCAGGCTGCCGTGGCGCTCACTCAGGGAAACCGATTTGCCTTAATTTCACTTTGAATTGTGGCACTGAATAAACTGACCTGAATAGCAGGCAAAAACAGTAAATTCTGTATGAAATGATAATGATGCCTTAAGGGTGTCATGAAATTTCATTTTGGCAGTGGTTATGTGACATAGAAATGTCACTCACCCTTCCAGCACACTGATGTACTTGTGAGGGATGAGGCCCTTAACCCCTCCCACCTCTCCTCGCCACCAATCAGAAGAGGCCTTGCTGTGAAGGATGAGAGGCTCTCCCTGCTTGAAGGAAAGCTCCGCCGGGGATCTCGCCACGTAGTCAAACATAGCCACCGCCTCCCATTCTGTACACACCAGCAGACACACAAAGCAAGGTTATAATGTACCTTTGTGGTGTAACAGTACAATAATGTGACAGGGTTGGTGCTTATGCGTACTGACCATCCTCACTGGGCAGATGCTCGGTCTCCCCATCTCCCTCTTCTGTGATTGGTTCACTGCAGAAAAGCAGAAAAACCAAAGTCATGCTCGGTTCCTCTTCTCTTCCGCTAACTGTCACACCACAGCCTCTCTTTATGCAAGACTTCATACTGCTGTGAGATTTCCCAAATGACCCTAAAACCTCAGGCTTGGTCTAATGTCATACTGAATGATTTTTAATAAAAAGATCATGAAGGAAACAGACTGACTTTGGGTTGTAGAGGGTTAGCCTGGAGGCTAGTGTTCCATTATAGCGAGCAATCGGCTTAATAGCATTACGCGTTATGTTTTTACACAAAGCATTATGAGCTACACAGAAGTGCCTTTGGCGTGGCATGAAATTCTGTTTCAAGAGGATGAACCATGAAAAGGGGGCTGAGGGGTGAAGATGCTTTATGTACTTGGAACCATCTCAGCCTGAGTCTTAAAAGTTTGACATGAACAACAAATCTCTGGAGCAAAAAGGCTGCTGCCCAATTATTTACTGACGACAGTAAATACTTCAACAAATATCTTTTCAGACTGAGCGTGATAGGCACTTTTATGTATTTACTTAATTTACTGCTCAAAAAAGCCCAAAGGTACACTTTTTAATCCGAGTACAGGATCAAACATCAGCCGAATTTCTGGGATATTGATCCTCTCAGTTTTGTAGCAGAGGGGGTATTAATCAGTTTCAGTTGCTTTGGTGGTAATGCACTAGAGGGGCAACAATGGGACAACCCCTAAAACAGAAATGCCTTTACAGCTGGAGGCCTCTGACATTTTTTCCCCTCCTCGTATTTTTAGTTTTTCTCACTAGTTTTGCATTAGTTTAGTGTCACTACTGGCAGCATGAGGCAATAGCTGGACCCTACAGAGGTTCCACAGGTAGTCCAACTCCTCAAGATGGCACATCAATACGTGTCATTGCTAGAAGGTTTGCTGTGTCTCCTCGCAGTCTTAAGAGCATGGAGGAGACTCCGGGAGAGGCATTTACTCTAGGAGAGCTGGACAGGGATGTAGAACGTCCTTAACTCATCAGCAGGACAGATATCTGCTCCTTTGTGCAAGGAGGAGCAGGCTGAGCAATGCCAGAGCTTAAAAATGACCTCCAGCAGGACACTGGTGTGAATGTCTCTGACCAACAATGTGAAACAGACTTCATGTGGTGGCCTGAGGACCCCACCTGACCTAATGGAACACCTCGGGGAAATTATGTTTCCGTCCATTTGATGCTTCCAGGTTGCACCTCAGCCTATCCAGGAGCTCAGCGATAGTCCAGATGTGGGAGGAGATCCCCAGGACACTATCCACCATCTTATTTATAGTGATGCATGTATACGAGCAGGTGGGGGCATACAAATTGAGTACCATTTTGAGTTGCTACAATTAAATTTCTGCAAAATGAACTAGCCTGCTGCAGAACTTTTACACTTTGATTTTCAGGGTGTCTTTGAAATCAGTCCTCTGTAGTTTGATGTAAACAAAGAGCCCCACCCACCTGCATTTCAAACCATTGGTTTGTGAGGGGCAGCCAATGCAATGAACGTTGGCTTAAACAAAGGGTTAACAAAGGGACTAGACAACATTATTTTCATGACTAGCAGGTCGCAACTCGCTGCTTCTGATGTCAAACTGAAAAAGTTGTTTTTTTACTTTGCGTTGTGTTCACTGAAATTGCTGCCTGTTAAGAACTTAGAGTTGTTGTCTTTTTGCAGCAAAAACAACATTTTTATCAATGAGTACTCCTCTCACCAGTACTCCTGCTCCAGAGTCATGTGCTTCTCGTAAACAGGGCCCGGCAGCTCCGATTGGCTGGGGAAGATGCTGTCATGCTGAAGGATCATGGTCTTGACAAGGTCGTTAACCTGTGGCTGCCTAGCAACAGCGTCATCAGAATCCATCCCCCTCAGCAGGCTTGGACCGAAGCAAACAGCCAGGTTGTAGGGCTGCATCATGTTCTCGTCGCTGTACTGAGACACACTGAGAAAAAAAGAGAAACACAAACACGCACATGGTGACTTTCTATTTCTGGCACGAGTGTGCAGTTTTATGAGGATGGCACATATCTGATATGTGAAAATATCCCACACTGGGTTTTGGTGCAACTTACTGGTTGAGGAAAGCAAAAAGGTAACGCATCACGATGAGGAGAGGCCTTGGGAAGGTCGAGACAATCGTTTTAATCTGGACGGCTTTGTCCACCTCCTCCTCGATTTCTGATGACAGGAAGAAAACAAAATGACCTGATGAACTAAAACTTTTAGTTGTTGCATTTAAGTTTTTCCAAGCCTGCATTGACCAAAATTCACCCAAAATCCGTCCTTAAAGAAAGAGGCGAGGAGGATGGATTGATTATGCTATGCCACTAATGGAAAATCTACAAATTTAAGGGGAGTAAACAACCCCCAGGCAGGTTTGCTGCACTGGTTAGCTGTGCAAATTGTGACTCAGAGCATCTGTCCTGGAAAAATAAAAAAACTGAATTGGGAAGAGACCTACAGAAATAACAGGGAGATAGTGGAAGGGATAAACACACAGCAAACTATGCGCTGCAAGAACCAGCTGTATAAGTTGCATCTTCTTGTATCAACGCTGCATTGTTTTTGCTGCTTTGTGTTTGAGCATCAGTGAAGTTATATCAAGATAAACAGGATCACAGGCAAAAAATGGTTCACTGCACAGTACGCGACGGGCTGAGTCAGCTTAACCAAGGTTGAGAAAGAATCTAGGAACTACAATGTTCCAGAAATACTCGAGTAACTGAAAGCAGACATGAAAAAGCCCAAGTGAAACCAGTACACAATCTGAAAACAGACACACACACATAGAGAAGTTACATAAGGGGTCTTACGGACACACTCCAGCAGCTGAGTGTAGCTGTCGTAGGGGAAGAGAGGAGGCTCAAGGCCTCTGAAGTACAGCTTCAGCACACCGGCCACAGAGTCCAGGTCACACTCACTATCTGACAGAGGATCCTCTCCTACACAGAGGTTAAACACACGTGAGATGACTGAATCGGAGTAGCAGAGGACACAGGCATGAGCTTTTTCCTTCACTCTATGAAGCCTTTTAGCTCTATGTTGTTGTCTCAGATCTCACAGTGTAAACTGCATGCTACCAGCTCAGCGCTGAAAAGACAAAGTTAGTGAATAGATGATGAAAGTCACTGGCAAAAAGGATTCATGCCAGTTAGAATTTGCAAAACTGTAAAGGTAAGATGTATTTGCAATCTAACTTAGACCAGGTTACAGGTTAATACTCGCTTGCTGACTCAATCGTGAAGAGCTGCTGACAACACGGACAAGTGGGTGATCCTATTATACTCGTTTAGTTCCACTTGAGTAAACTGAAAGGATTTGTTTCACTCACACACATTAAAAATCTCTCTCTCTCTCTCTCTCTCTCTCTCTCTCTCTCAAAAAAGCGACATCCACATGAGGAGAAAATGATGAACTGCTTTGTTATTAAAAACTGCAACACAGAAGAAAAGAAAAGTGAAGAAAGTGCTATGTTTGGCGCTCTCCAAGCAGATCCAAGCCCTTGCAGAATCATGAGGAGGACACTGTAACGTTGGTGTCAGCCTCTTGGAACATGGTCTGCTTTTCAGGGCTGTAACTAAAGAACATTTGAGCCAAAACGTTGTGTACTAGTTCTTGTTTATGAATACAAAGAGCTATTAAGAAGCTAAAACTGTCAGCCGGTAGTTTGAGGTTGATTTGGGAAAAACGTTTAGTCTTCTGCACTTCACATGACCTTTTTACAAGCTCGCAAACAAAGCCACTGTCTGTCAGTACCAACCGTACTAGAAGCGGACCAGAAACCAGAAAGCTTTTAGAACCAAAAGTCACGTCCCCTACCTACAGATATCTGTGTGGTCATATGCAGATATTTGTTTATAGACGTATTATATTTGTAATTTCTCCCAGACCTATTTTATGTGTGCTGTTGTGGGGTGTTTCTTAAAACTCATTGTGGCCAATGGTTAGCAGGAAGTTAATAATTTTTACATTATCTTTTTCATCAAAAAAACAAAAAACCATGTCAGACCTAAACTAGGGTTCAGAGATATCCTGAGGCACATGCAATTTGACATCTGAGCATCCAGAGCAGATGGGCAAGCAGGCCGCAGACAAACTTGCTGGGGTATTTGGACAATGTTGTGTGTGTGTGTGTGTGGATAAGGTTAGTGGTTTTAGAGACAGGTGCAGTTTCAGGCAGTGCATCCTGTCTAAAACAGACACATATGGCATAATGATTTGGTGGAACATTGATGCCAAAAAAATAACTGAAAACTGATTACTGACACGGCCCAGAATGTAGCATGCATCTAGCCCTATGGTGATTGGTAGATGGATGGATGGTTGAAAAACTATAATTAATCACATTAAACCATTTTAGGATGGTATGTTGGTGTGGTAGTTAGCATCACTGCCTCACAGCAACAACAAAAAAGTGTCATGGTTCTGGAAGAAACAGGACCCAAATACAGGACTCACTGGCAAACTAGGTAAACAAAAAAAATGTACACAGCAGAAACTACTTAAGGTTATGAGAAAAGGAAAACAACTACCTAATGGGAACAAAAAACACAAAAATCTAAACAATAAACACCTGAAACTATGAAACCACAGAGATTGGTGAATAAAAGGAAATCAAACGTTGAGGAACAATAAATCTCTAGTACAAATGGAAACTGGAACTAAAGAGATTCTAAAGACATCAAACTCATTTTGTGAGTAATAAAAAACCCAACTGATTGTACAAAACTAAAAATGTTCAAAATTCCAAGCTCAAAAATCCCAGGACTATGACAGGAAGTTTCCTGGGTTTGAATCCACGAGCCACCCCAACAATGATCCTGAATTGGATAAGTGGAAGAAGATAGATGGCTGGGAAACAGTGAGAGCTTGATAAAGACAAATGTAGTATTCCTGTGTAAATAAATGGCCATGAATGATCCAGCTCAGTCATTCGAGTCGCTAAAATTTACTTGGTCGATTGAGGTCAACCCTCAGTTATGCTAGACTTACATTCACTGGCTCTGGCTTCATTGCAAACGCAGTTTTTGTAAACCACTAGTTTGTGCTAATGGAACAACTATAGTGTTCTGCAGTTTTAATTGTGTAAACTTTAACTGACATATTTATTGCATTGTAAATAAACAACTTCTCTTCTTTGATTTAGTTTTCTCCATCTGAGGAAAAAGTTCTGCTATCTCAGCACATGTACAAAAAACAAACAAACAAACAAAAAAAACGACAGAAAAAACGAGGAAAGCACTTACCTCTTTCAAATGCATCTCTGAGGAGGTTCACCTCCCTCTGTGAGCCTGGAACTCTGAAAATTCCTTCATGGTGGAGGCCTGCGATACACACAAACACATATTCACACCATATGACGCGTTCATAGATGCCTGATATGCACAAGTGCACAAAAAAAATACAAAACAGGTCCTTCCACCTACTCATTTTCACTGTCCAAAGCTCTCACAGCATGACTTACTGATATGACAAAAACTGACTCACCATGAAGGTTTATGAAGCGAATGCAGCTTTCAACCACCACAGGAATCTGCTGTCCAGAGCTCTGCAGAAAAAAGACGGTTAGAAGAAGAGAGATGAGACGAGAATGCGGTGCTGAAGACAGAAACAGAGTGCAGAGGGAGATGCAAAGAGAGGGGGAGGAAAAAAAGGATGAAAGAAAGGAAGACCAATAACAGGGAAGGGAAATATGCAAGGCAGAAAGATGCAATGCAAGAAACTAAAGATGACTGAAAAGTACAAGTTTCATCAATTGAGGTTCTTTTAAGGGCACTTGGCTACAAGTAACTAAAAACTATACAACCACCGTTGTCCATTATGTAAAGCTAAAACGAAGACTTTATAAAAGCAAGTCGACACTTAAAGAGTCCTGAATAGAAATCTATGGGACACTTCTGTAATGTAATGATGATCCTTTTTGTATTACTGCAAGATTCAGATGGGATATGCAGCCTTAATGAAACTTTGCACATGCACAGGAAAAGTTTAGCTAACCTTTAAAGCATTTTCTAAACAGATTCGACTGTCGATTCTACACATGATGTTTAGAATCAAGCGATAATTAAAGGGTTATGGCTCTTTTCTCATTCATTCAAATAGGGGCATCAAAAATAACTGCCCACATAACTGCACAGGGGCATTACCAGTCACAAGACTTACTTCTAGAAAGACTTTGGCTAAAGCTAGTAGCCTAGCACAGTGGAAACAAGAGCTAGCATGCAGACTGACAGTGTCCTATGTTAGTTTAAGGCACACAAAAAAAGAAACATCTAAAAAATATTTTAGAAAAAACAACTTTTTCAACACAACTCAGCAAACTCTTCTTCTCTGCATCCAGTTTATGCGCTATGCTAGGCTAACCGACAGCTGATATTTTCAACGATAAAAGTGCTACAGTAAATTAGGGCTGTGACACTGATAATGATTGTCAATTTGATAGCTCACCAGTAAAGGTGATTTTTAGGCAATTTCCTCACTGATGCATAAAATTAATATCATTATTATTAGGTTCATAATAAACTCAACCTGCCAGTCTCATGATTGTGCATGGAAGTTCATGCCTGAACTTTTGTGTGCATTGAAATGACTGAGCTATCATCATCATCAAATGAGAGAAAATGGGAAATATTTTTGACTCTTTAGTTGTTAAATTGGAGCTTAACGTGACTGTGCATTTGCAGCTGCACCAGTTTTTCTTGTCTGCTCTTTTTTGTCTACTGGGCATTTTAGTCGGTGAAAAACTCTACTCAAATGTGTGTGGAAGGTGAATGATGAAGACAATGAAGAGATGAGATATTGTACACAGAAAAAAAAACTGTATTATATAGTACAACTATAGGTGTAATGTAAATAAATAAAAACCCAGCAACTTCTATGACTTTCAGCTGTTGTACTGTATGTAAACATGCAAATGGTTAGATTAAGAGTATTTCACCAGTTTTTCAGGGCCTCAGTAGATTAAACATTTACGGTGCGTGTTGCTGAGGCCAGGCTGCCAGTGTCAATTCTATTTCTATAGTACATTCTATCGTAAAAGGTTGAGCAAAGTGCTTTACAAGTTGGCTAATGAACATGAGAGACCCAGACTGAAGGGGGAATACTGCATACACATTTCATAAAAAGAGCTTTACACCTGCTGCTAAAACTTCCCTGAAAAAAGCTGCACTGGACACGACTTAGACATGGTGACTGCTTTTTTGTGGTAAACAGTCCCAAGTCTGCATGCACTGCATAAGCAGTCACACAGACGGTGCTGAGTACCTGTGTCCGAGACATTCGCCTTCTTCTTCTGCACCAAGCCAAACACAGCAGAGCGGGGACACAGAAAAAGCAGATTAGAAGAGAAGGGAGAGGGGACAATAAGGGGAATAAAGATTTAGAGGCAGTGGGAAGAGGCACACATAAGCATACGCGCACGCACACATACGCTCATGTACACACACACTGAATAGAGGAGTCGAGAGGAGGCAGCAAAGAGGCCAGTGCATTTTAATCCTTTCACAAGAGAGAGAGGAGGAGATAAAAGGGGGAATGGATTGAAAGGAGAGAAAGCCAGCAGTAAGCCATAAGCATGACCATACACACGAAGGCAGCAGTAACTACACTGGAGGGGGCAAGGGGGGTGGGGGGCTGTCATTGTGCGCATGTGCTGCAAGAACCCTCAACAATCCCCAATTCTTCTGCATCAATGTGGCAGGTTTTCATTTGGAAGGTTTGAACAGCAGCGCAGCAAACAATACAAGACAAGTAAAAACAAATGAAGAGCGGATTTGGTTTTCTGTGAATGAATGTGAGTGTTACCTCTATGTAGGACAGTATGTCTGTATTGAAGAGTGTGTGGCAGAATTGGGAAACAGGTCTGGACTTCCGAACGCGCACTGACCGAGCACATTGCATTCTGGGAAATATAATAGATAAAATGCATGATCCCATAGTGACAGTCAAGATGTAGTATTGTTGATAACTGCAAAGTCAGGTGTCCGCCACTCTAGAAATAGATTCGTATACATCATGGAAAAAGCAATTTTGGTTTAAATTTAGCCCATCACTGTCCTCTCTCCATGTCCTCTGTACTCTCTCCATTTCAGTCACACTGATTTATTCTCAGCTCTTATATACAGTCTGTTTACCTGGAAGGGTCGCTGTCAACGGCTTCAGCTGGAAGACAGAAACAGAAAATATGTGAAAGAGTGACATCATGGCTATGTCCATCTTTTGTATACAGTCTATAACTTTGGAGAGCGTGAGTACATCTCTCGTAACATATGTATATGTGTGTGTATGACAGAGTTCAGTGCAATGCACAGTATCAGAATCTGAGACTACCACTGATACAGTCTTATTATACTTGGCCTGTTGTAGCTGCTCTAAATGTTACTGTGGAGCATGTACAGTCATGCTTTCTTTCTGTTTTATTTTTAACAGGTTTTTTCATATGAGTGACAAAACCTGCAAGATGCTCATTAAGCCAAGAGGCAGTTTGTGGCCATGTTGGAATTTGGTTAATGTATGTGGATGTTTTGCAGACATAATCAAAGGCAACACTGGAACAAACTGCATTAAATCCATCCTCCTTGTACCTTTCTGTATGGCATCTTGTAGGATATCATGTTTGGCTTGAAGTTTGGAGGCCAGAGAGCTGCTGGTAAGGAACTCTTTCACTTTCTAAGATGAAAAAAAGAAAGAAATAGTGAATAAATCAAAAACAGTTGATCATTTTTATCTGTGTTTGGAAAAAAAAGCCACTGCTCATTTAAACTGCTATCAGGAAACTCCTGTCAATCATGTCAATTCATTAACTCACTGTGAAGTAGTAGGTCTCTGTCTCCTGTTGATTGGCTCGACGCTTGGCAAGGGTAAGTTTTGGAAGGGTGCCTCCACCGGGTGGCTCGTGTGATAGGTTGCTGGGCACATCGGGGGAGGGGTTACAGTCGCTGTCGCACATAGTGTCCAGAAGGGCTGCGAGTGTGGCTTTAAGCGTTTTACTGATCTGAGAAAGGCAAAAAAAAGGCGATTTGTGGGTTTAGCTGCTCCGAGTTCAAGGTTTAAGGCTCATGTTGCAAAGCTCCACCCTGGCTAACGCAGTGTCAGACAGACTAGGGCAGACAGACCATTAAGGAAACAGGCAGAAAACAAATAGCTGACCTCCTCTGTTTCCAAGGTAACGGCAGCAAGTCGAGACTGAAGTTGCTGGAACCTGGTCTCCAACTCGTACCTCACCTGGCTCTCCGCACTGACCTCGCACACCTGAAATACACAAGAGATATAAAACTAATGTCAAATAAGGTATAGTAAAAGAAAAGTGGTGCTGATCTCAGCAAACATTCAGGTATATTTTGACCAGTGAAATCACACAGCACTAGGAAATGAAAACTTGTAACTTGTATTGTTTTTAAGATGTTAGGGGAGCATTTTAGCCTTTATTTCATGGGACTGCTCAGAGAGAGTAGAAAGAGAGACAGGGGAATGAAATAAAGGAAATGGTAGAACCCTGTGTATAGGTCTGTTATTAACACATAGGTCACCTATAATAAATGAACCTTACCTTATCTTAAATGGATGTGGCTGTTCTTGCATTTATACTTAGACTTTCACACATTTTATTGAACACTTTGAGCTGGGTCATACAGCTCTACCAGAGGTACGGTAGCTTCACCTGGTCTCCTTCATGTGGGTGGTAGTTGAATCTGAAAGGAAGGCAGAAGGCGGCGTCATGTTGCTGCAGCAATGCATCTCTGTCTCCGCTCTGGTCCAGCGATGTCACCGCAGTCTCCAACTGCTTAAGCCCCGTCTCCTCAGTCTTTTGGATGCGCCACCTGCTGGCCAGGTAGCATTTCATCACTCTCTCCACAGACAGATGGAAACCAAGGTCACAGCACTGGCAGGAGAGAGGGAGAAGAAATGAAGGGTGTAAGAAAAGCGTGAGAAAATGTGGATGAATGTGCATTCAAACTATTGTTTTTCTTCTCCCTGTGACAACTTTCATTTATTATTCTGCTGAGGTGTGTCATAAATGCATGAACACACAATCACCCGACACAAAGTGCATGTTTCTTACGTCGATGAGGGTGCTGACATCCTGCAGGTAGTACTTGTTCATGGCAGCATTTGCTCCTGCTAGATTCAGCAGGTAGTCATTACGAGCCTTGGTACACTTCAGCTGGGTCTCCTGCACTCTGCCATGCCTCTGCGTGTGCATACACAAACATAAAAAGTAAGAAAGAGAATTAGCACGAATAACAACTTGAAACCACATCTAGTGATAAATATCCGGATGTACAGTACTCAAGTATCTGGCACTTGAATACAGGAAGTGGTTTGCTTTGTGAGAAACATATTAAGACTGCTGTTGTTCTTTATCGTTCACAGAAATACAGGCTCACCTTCTCCATCAGTCTTTCCATCTTCTTAACAGAGCTTCGCCTTTGCCCTCCCAGCTGTCCGGGGCCCAGTTCGGCTGACTTGCCGGTGTGTCTCTCCTCCAACCGCTCGGCTTCCTTCAGTTTCCCCTCAGCTATCAGGCAGTCGGTGTGGTACTGGTTATATGTCTTCAGAGCCTTCATCAATAGCACAAACCCATGTCAACATGCTAGTCTCAGTGACTGTAGTATTTTGTCTTGTTACACTCAGGACGGCAGTATAATGTGCTCACCGTCTGCAGTTCAGTGGTAACCTTCAGCAGCTCATCTTGCATCTGGATTCCAACTTCTTTGCTCTGAAATAAAGACAAAATATATAAAAATGGCTTCCTGTTGCCCACCAATGCAATATGCCCTTTACACTTTAAAGGCCTGTTACACTAAGTCTCCTAGTACAGGTAAGAGTACTAGAAATAGTACTAGCAGCTAAACGCTAGAATTAGGGTACCATTAGGAGTGAAAAGGGTGAAAAACATGGAACCTTTAAATTTGAGTCTGTGGGAATTTAGGACCTTCAGAGCTTGACAGCATTAAAACCTGGAGGTTTATTAAATATGATTTAGTTATTCTGTCTTGGTAAAATTATCTCTTCACTTCATATTGTTTCCATAGTATTACTTTGATCTGTAGCAGTAATTCATTTAATACAGTGCTGAAAGTGATATTAGAAAAACTAAAAGAGTTCCTCTGCTTGATGTCGGGCCAGACAAAACCTCTTAGCTCCTCTGACATGTCTGTAGTGGCTTAATTAAGATTCTGCTCACATTTCAACCACAAGAAGGTACGGAGAGCATGTCTGACATCCAGTAATTTGAACAAGATGAGTCTGTGTAATGTTTTTTTAAGTGAATGAAGCCCAGCGTTACCAAGACAAATTAGGATCTATATTAAAGCCGTCACTGTATTTGGTATTTGTCAAAGCTGCAAGTTCATATCTGGGAGCCTGCTCAGTTTTAAAGGAGTCATTTTAGAGTAAAGTAAAAGAAGTAAAATCATCTTTTTATTTGAAAAAAATAAATGATTGGCTTGTTTTGGAGTAGAAGGACTCTCCCTCTACCTTTTGCTGCTTTTCATACATGTGACCTTACACTATAACATCCTCTCACCCGTTTGTGCAGGCGATGTGTGTCCTCTGTACCATGTGCCAGCCTTTGTGTGAGCGTGTTGCAGCAAGTGTCACCCAGTGCTGCATGTTCCCGGCTCTCCAGACGGGTCTGAGTCAGCAGAACAGACCAGACCTGACACACGGACTGACCCCACTGCTCCTTCCTGTACAGTAACAGAGATGCGCACCGAGATTATGGCACGATCACGCACGTCAGACCCATGAGAGGAACAGAAATGTTCCTCTCATGGGTCAAATGTATAAACACAACTGATGCAGCCTTACTTTTTTGTTTTATGAGTAAACCTCTCTGTGAGTTTGTCAAGGGCCCGTGCATATTCAGACTCGATGTCACCCCGACGGCGGAGAAACTCAGACAGGTCTGAGAGCTGCTGCTGTTTCACCTCCACCTGGGAGTCTAAAATCTTTATCTGGTCTGTCAGCTGGGCCCGCAGGTCTGAGATGCGAGGGAGATGGAGACAGGGGAGACAAAAAATAGATTAGACACCGAAGTAAACACATGCTCACAACCTCTAACAATCACAGCAAATGTAATTACCTGCTCAGCCAGTGCATAAAATACAGTATGTGCCTGATGTCCAACTGAATCACTAAATAAAGGTTTGGAAACGAACTTTAAACACACACAGGGAGGATAAACTGTGTTGCTTTCTAACGCTTTAAATAAACAAAATTAAAGAAAACAACACTGAAAACAACCTATACAATACTCTATAGTAGCTTTTGAATCAGTTATAAAAATCATAATCCTTATTTATTTTCCTGTGCTTATGTTATTTTAATAACATTTGGATTATTAACCAAAATTAAAATGTGGGTAATTGCACAATCCTATTCGGGGCATCTGTCTTCACTGACATTATAAATAGAAAAAAATACTGAATAAGGAGTTTGTGACTTATATTGACTTATTATTGCTACACGCACTCAGACACTTTATCAGGTGCAACCTCTCGCTTACCTAAATATCCAATCAGCCACTCACAAAGCAGCAACTCACTGCACTGAGGCATGAAGATGCAGACAATATGAGTATCTGAAGTTCAAACATGAGCATCAGGATGAGGACTTAAACCAGATTAAAACAGTGTTTACAGTCTTAAAAGGTGTTCTCACAAGGGCCAATCAGCTCAAACTTTTCATGTTTAAGGACATTTTGTACATTTGTAGGTATTTTTTTTTACTTTTAATTGCAAAGAATGAGAGTACGTCTACCACCACCACTCAAAGACAGGCATCCCCAGACACCAATAACAGAGGACAGGAAAAATAAAAACCCCTATCACAACGGCTCCTGAAGTACAAGCTGGAGACACACTGTGTCTCTGCACATTTGGAAATAATGCACGCACATTCACCATTAGTATATGAATCATTTCACTGGAATTCTTTCCCTCTAACACAGATAGAGGATCAATAATAATTCATGTCTTATGATCAGGTTTATAAAACGCAGCCAGTGGTGTGACCGATACAGCTGTTTGACTACCCCTGTAATGTGATAGTGATATACTAATTGTTATAATCATATCGATATGTATTACACACTAGCTTGTATGCAAACACAACTAAAGCAGTAGCACAGCGACCCAGTGCTGCTCTTTGCTCTAAAAAGGCTAATACAAACATCCTTCTCTCAGAAAACACCACCTTCGCTTTGCTCTTTCACCTCACCCCCTGCCCCTCTACCCCCACCCTCTCATTGCTCATCCCTCTACTCCGCCTGCTCCTTCTTTCCCCTCTTTACTCTTTTTCCTCTGTCTTTGTGTGAGTACACAGCCTGGGGCTGACTGGATGTGAGGAGACAGCATCACTAATACTAGCTATAAATACACCCTTGTAGTACAGTACACAGAGCCAGGCAGCCACGGCATGAAGCCTCCAAATCACGACGCACACATGCGCACACACAAACACACAAAAACATGCTGGTGTCACGAGAAAACCTCATTACGCCAGCACTGGTCATTTTTGTTGTTGTTTTGTTTTCACTTACACAAAAATGATTTGCTTCTTTCTAGGCAAGCTTTTCTGCTCTCCTCCCTTTACTCTGCACGGAGCTTAGGTTTGAGTACGCACACATATGTTCAAATACTGTGTGTGTTATGTATATTTGTGTGGGTGTGTGTGGATGACTGCGCAGTGCACACATTCATGCATGACTGCCCGTGTGCTGTCTTGTGTGCAGTCATGTGTGCAGGCAAACGCACATGTACAAACGCAAGCGTATACACGGAGACAAGCGCATGCATATTCACCTTTCATCTGCGATTCATACTCAGCCAGGCTCCCCTTCTCCCGCCTCAGCTTTCCGTGTGAAGTCATCATCTTCGATCCCCTGGCCCTCGTCTGTCACTGAGACGCTCCTTCCCGATAGCTTCTCGGAGTCTCGCTGTCCTTCCCTCTTTCTGAAACCTTGTAACCTCAGCTTCTGCTGTTGATCAGTAGCCTGTGACCTTTCACCCTTGACCCCTTGGCCTCACTGCTCTACAGCTGAGTGCAGTGCATCGGCATCAGTGTCGATTGGCTGCTCTTGGCGGGGATGTGAATCAGGTCGATGCGTCCATGGAATCCCCTGGGTTTCCGATGTGAACGGTGATCCATAGGTGAGCTGGCCTGAGCAGCGGGCAGGGGAGAAAAAAAAAAGATAGAAGCACAATGAGATTGGATATGGATGAGGAAAAAGGCAGCAGGAACAGATTTACGGAGGCCGCAATGAGAGAGTGAACGAATGAGAGGAAGTGGACACATGGGGGCAGGGTGACAAGACAGAAAGGGACAGTGACACCAGAGATGGAGATATAATAGGAGGGGTGGAGACACAAGGGTGGTGCAGAGAAGGGACAGTAAGAGGGCAGAGTGATGGGGATGTGAAGGATTAAGGACTGGGGTGGGAGGGAGATGAGAGATGATGAGTAACACCAATAATGAAGGACAGTCGTAGCCTCGAGGTTGGTTGTTGGGGATGTCCGTGAAGGTAATAGGCAAGGAAATACCTCCAGTGATTCAGTGATTTTTCTTTTCTTTTCCAGAAGCACATATATATAAATGCTGGTTAGAGAACAACCACACACTGGTCTGTGTTTTTTTTTTTTCAATCACCGGTGGTTTGCTGATCTATTAATGACTTGTCATTCTTGGTTTGAGGGTTGGTTTGTGTTAAGAGGTGACCCCACTAACACAGCAAAGTCAGTGTATGTGCTACTCAGGCTGAGAAGAACATCAACCATCAGGTAAAAGACATAAAAATCTGTTGTGAGATCCCCTAATTCTGCTCCTCAACTTTAATCCGAGACAACTTTATTTATGAAGCACTATAGAGAACATTAGTTCAAGTTATACCCATTATAGTATTGTATACTTGTTATACCCATCTACAGGCATTGGTGAAACAAGAGGCCACCTTCAAGATGAAAAGGGATGCTAACATGTAAGAGACAAAAAACTGCAGTTCCTAAAAATGGCCAGTAGAGGCCGACTTCAGAAGTGAGTCAATTCCCATTTTAAATTTCCCAACAGTTGGGTATTATTCACAGTCTCCTCTGAAAAAGCAAGTACACACTTACTGCTTCCATAGGAATTAAGCGTAACTTATGGGTAACTACTTAAGAGTGAGTAGCAGCCAGGTGGTGATAATCAAATGTACTTCATTAATTGATCAGTAGCCTGCTTGAGCACCTCTATAAAACCAGACGTTCTGGCAGTTTTCTGGTCCGGAGCATCCAGGTGTGTGTTCACACAATGTCACAATCTTCCCAGGAGTGGGTAGTCCAATAAATCCAACTCAAGGTCAGACTGTGCAGAGCTCACACAAACTGCAAAAAACCCAAGAGCCACATCTCAGACAGTACAGGCATCAGACAGCATGTTAAATGAGAGTGCATGGAAACACAGCCTAGGTTTACAAAGTTGTATCTGAGCAAACAACATGAAGAAACCACAAGACTTCTGTAATAACCTTTTCTGGACAGACCAGACCAAACTGGAGATGACTGGTCACAAAGCACAGCAACAACCAAACACAGCTTAACAGCGCAAACACCTCATCTCAGACATTGCTTATGAGTGAAAACGTAGCGCTTTCAGTCGATTTTAAGTGGAAACTCTGAGAATAGCCTGTTCCAGACAACATTATGTGTTCAGCATAAGTTACCGTGGTGATTTAGCCAGATGAAAAAGTTAGCCACTTCTCGGACACGGAAAACTTTGACATAGCTAAAGCTCGACTGAAACTGGGTGATGCAACAGGACAATGATCCCAGCTAATCTAGAAAAGAATAGCAGAAAAAGAAAAGAAATAAGGGGCTATCATCCTGGCTAGCAATCAGCTGCAATTATGCACTAATAAACTATGTTTAACCTACTAGAATTTCTGACGCAGACGAACAAGAGCAGCAACATACAAATGTCCCGACGTGCACATCCCCAGCCTAAATATAGTTACTACTTCTTCCAAAATACTAAGACAGCGTTCTGACTTTGGGGTTTCATAAAAGGACTTCATGAAACAACAGTGGCTACATCCATCACATATATACAGTCTATGTTTGCTAATGATTTCTACTGTGCAAACAGGTGGTGTCTATTCCCTACCTCAGTGTATTCAGTTAGTGGGCAGGTTTTTCATTGGTTGAACCTCGTAATATCACACTGGGTTGGGTTTTAAAAATGGCTACAAGCTGGTTTCTCCAACACAGAATAACCTTTTAAGCTTGGTAACTGGGTGAGGTTTTTTTTTTTACTTAAATCATCTTCTGGTCTAGTGCTCTTAATATTTAAACATTTTTACCATTCACTGTGTAATATAAGGTCTGGTTATCTTTTGTTTGTAGTCAAATCATAGTGCTGTGACGTGTCATGTTCACAAGTTCACAATGTAAATATATTGTGCCTATGCATAACTAAACATACAGAGAAGAGAAGCCAACAGGAAAGAGACCGGGAGAAAATAACATATTTAGAGAACGCAAAGTGCGCTTGATTTTCTGTACTTTCAGGACGACTTTCAAGTCCTTCGAGGCTGTCAATGAAAATCAGTTTCTCACTCATCTCTCACTTTTAACTTCAACACACATGCAAGGAAGCACACACACACCCATATATACAGAGGCAGCTTCACCCCCCACATCCTGTGTCAGTTTCTCAACAGGTTTCAGAACCCTGTGAAGGATACAAAAAAAAAATCCTTCAGTGGAAATTGTTCCTCAATCCGCCACAAGCAATCAATTGTGTTCAGTTCACAAAAGTAACTGAAGTTAAAGGACACCAGGTGGTTTAATGCAGTTTCATTTATACTGTAAAGTTAATACTGTTGATGCAGGTAGATTGTACGGCAGTACGGCACACTCAAGGAGATAAAAAACAAACAAGAAAGCTGGCCTGGCATCTCTTCAATGCCATCTTAACGACTGTTGTCAGACCTGTGCTTTCATTTCCTCCAAAAACAGTGCACTGAATGTGATCCAGACATAGTCAGTCATGGTTTCAAGTGGAGAGTAAATCTGGAAGCAAAGCGAGCGAACGCGAAGAGAAAATCTGCAAATGAGACTCCAAGGGTCCCGAGACCTCTGGAGGCACAGGAAGCCTTCATCAGCGTGCGACCTTAATCTGCACAGAACAAAGCCACTGTAAATGATCTGAGGAGGAGAGAGGAGGGGATGTGAGGGATTCAGCAAAAGACGAGGGAAAACAGTGGGGGTGGGTGGGTGGCGGCCGGGACAGAGAGACAGAGGTTAGAGGGGACCAGTGTTTCATACTTAAAAGTCAAGGTCACTGAATGAAAGAGGTCACGTGGTGCACGTGGTGAATATAAAGCAGACTGACGACAGGGCAGGATAAATGTGGTAGCGTGTCTTAGAGCTTTACTGCCATCAAGGGGGTTTCCTGCTAATGTCAGTTAAAGGAAAAAAGAAAAAGGGACACTAAGCAGAATCAATACAAGGATGATATTGTGTTAGATGTTATGCTGATACTGCACGGGGATTTCCTGACACTACTGTTAGCCAGCAACAATTTGCTATGTTGACCGTGTTAATGTGCAGAACTTTATGTTGTGCTGTCTAATTGCAAATTGATGGAAAACCATCCCAAAAACCCCTGAACTCAGGACATAGCCAAACCGTAAAAACAAACAAAAAAAATCATAAAAACAAGTAAGGAAACATATGGGTGTCAGCCAGCAGGACCCTCGGCCAGATGATCTAACTTCCCGAAAAGCTGACTTTTGGGAACTATTAGGCTTCCGCTCAACAGCACTGCAGACACAGGTGCTGAAGCAGCGTCGTCACCACAGATGAATGTTGAAAATCATGAATGCATGATCATGCTAATGTATGCTCCAGCTGTGCATTGACTGATGTGAAAGCCCAAGTCAGACAGAGTCAGGTGTGACACCGATCAATTGACGTGCTGATTGGAGAGCCTCCTTTAGATGCAATCAGGACCTGGGACAGGATGGAGCTGGTTGCAGCTTATACTGCAGGAGGAGTGAGTAGGATAAACATCAGCTAACAAAAATTTTACATTACATGGCTTACAAAAAAAAAAGAAAAGTATAGACCCATACTGTGTCTGGCACGTCATATTATTGTGCAATGTGCAATGTAAAAAAAGCATACTGATGAAACAGAATTTGCATAAATGATCAACAATCTGGACCTGTGGATGGAAAAATATAGCTGCACCATGTATTTTTAAGCATATATTGTTCCACAGGTAACCTAAATGAGGGATCACACCTTCGGCCAATTCTGTTTACTCATCATGATAAGTACTTCTCAGGACATGATCATAAATGTTTAATGGTCTAGAGGAAACCCTGATGATGTAATCAGAGTTATCTAAAGAGAAAGTGCATGCCACACATCGTGGGTGTGCAATTAAAAAATAAATAAATAAATAAAACTTCTGTAGTGGGCAGAAAGAGACTGAATAAAACCCGCTGTCCAGTCACGATATGGTTCATGAAGAGCTTTCTCATATAACCAGCTGAATGTGTAGATATCTTAGAAGTTGGCTGCTTCCGTTTTCACTGCTGTTTCTAAAAGTCGTCTGGTTTGAGTATCCCAGTTTTGTGAAAATGCAACACTGACTTTCTGTAGTAACTCTTACAGTGAGTTTTTGTAGCCTTTTTTTTTTTTAATTTTCACCTCTGTGACTACAAATCACAGCTGGAGGTTGACACATGCTAAAAGCCAACAGCAACTTCAACAGGTTTTACATTTAACCAAAGTAGATGAACTGAAAACTACACTTCCTTTATTGTTCACTTGATGCTGGCTCCAAAACTGAGTCACGTCCCATTTGCTCCATTGTTAAAATGTCCAGCTTAAGCCTAGATTAAAAACAAAACAAAAGTTTTGCCTTCATCGTTAACCAAGGTATGGTGGACAATGTTACCCATACTAGTGAGCTGTAAAATTAGAAATGCGTCTACTTTTGCTGGCAGGTTGCTTGACCTCTGCTGATTCCTGAACTCAACCAGCCTCAACCATGTTTGTGTTGTTGGTGCCACTTGGCGGATTTTTTAAGAAAATTATCTGATCAATAATATGGCCTGCTGTGTGGTGCGGAGTTTCTTGCCCAAAAAGTTAATGATTCAGTTTTTGTGAGTGAAATCCTACGTAGCATTAATTAGCAGGTTTACAACCTGATGCACCTTGCTAAGCTTGCTAGCATTAACTAATAACTTAGTACTTAGAACTCCCTTCCAGATATGGTTATATGGATCTACAAAATCCCCCCGCACAGCACAGCAGAAGGTAAAATGCTAACGTTGAGGTTTCAAGCTACGGAGTCTAAAACCCAAGTGATGATATTGTGGCTACATCCATCTTTGATATACAGTTTTTTTGCTTAGACTCTACAAAAGAACAGTATTAGTGAAAGGCTGAGTGTGACTTGCAGTGTAAAATGATTTGAGTCATCAAGATAACTAGAAAGGTAGTGGGTATCAACCGACTTTCAACTGCTGGAAGTTACCTTATTTGTCAGCCAACTGGCTGCATGACGGTAATTCTGAAACCACAGTATACAGCCAACGTGACTGCATCACAACAAAAGGTAGCACAAACTCATACCGACTCCAGGCCCATAACTTATTAAGAATCTGCCATGAGATTTAGGACGCTATATTCGCCATGCAAAGTAGCCAAAATCCAGGTTTGTTTGCTTCTTGCCAGAGTTTCTATACACTCCTGTGTACCCTGTGAAGTGCTGCTTGTGCAGAAACTTCCACAGCAAACAGGAAACTGCATAATAGTATGCTACCACAGGTTTTTTTTCCTCTCACAACCATCTGTAGAGAATTACTCTGTTACCTGAAAATCTCACCAAAATATTTTAGCAGCAGCTTAATCCTGGCTCGCGTCACTGCCAAAAACACACAGCACAGGGTCAGCTAGTTTCAAGGTGGTAGAGGAGAACCACACGGAATTCATCCCATAAAAGAAAGTGCGGCCAGCAGTCCACTAAGTACCGGCACAGAGCAAAAAGATTTACATTTGCAAAAGGACATACATTTTTTCTGGCAGTAGCACAGTAGCCATATTATACACATGGCAGGCGCCTTTTAGATTCTGGCATGATACCTAATTGCAAAAGCACGGAGAGTTGACTTTAATGCAGAAGATCATTTACAGGCAATGTTTGTGGAATGCATACCTGTAGATCCCGTCAGATATCAAAAAAAAAAGGTGAAATGAAACAGTTGGGCAGTGTGAGGGGGTGGAAGGCTGTCAGGCCACATCCGCTCCTCAGGCACAGCTGAAACTGCCTGAGCACAGCGCTGAAACCTTCTCTAAGTGAGATAATTAATCAGCGCTTTAGGTTTAGTTCTACTGATATTTTTGCTCCTCGGGTCTACAGTACTGAAAGAGAAAATCTCACTGCTGTAATATGAAATCAGGGACATTTACACAAATATCTCCACTGCTACTAAATCTAACTACAGTTTTTTTAAGATATGCATATATATTAATAGTAAGCATATTTGAGGCCACTTTCCATTTCCATTGTTCTACATTTACGGAAACAAAACTACTTTTGACTCCACCATCTTTTAGCCAGACCTGCTATTACAAATTTGAAGTTATGGTCATAAAATAGTTATAAAGCAGGTCCACCCTACCTGACATACATTCACCTATATTGAATTGGTTACAGCATATGACTGCATCAATAGATAGAAAGTAAAATTACTGTTAAATTGTTCTGCATCCTTTGGGTTAAAATGACTGTGACCTAAAGACTGTGACCACATGTGGTTTCAAATTCTGTGGAAAAAGTGTCACGCCTGATTTCCTGTAATGTCACTTAAGTGTCCGGCACAGCTCATTGGCAAATCAACACATGAGGGAAGTGGAGTAGGTCAAAATTAGCACCACGTTATGCATGTGCAAGCACAGCAAACACGCTTGAAGCACACCACTGTCTGTGCAGTTGTTTTGATGCAGTGAAAGCAAGGACGCTCGTGTTGCCATCTGAGGTCAGGGATTTGCATCTTAGATCAGGCCAACCTGTGAGCCGGAAGGGCTACGATTTCAATCAACGTGAGAATTTCAAGTTTTATCGTGACAATGTCGCTCTCGAATCTGCTGCTCCTCCTGGGTTTAACTAAAGGTAAACTCATCAAATAAGAAAACAAAACACACCATTCGGCTTCCTACATAAGCTTTTGAGCTTGCTGTGTCTGTACTCGAGCTGCTGTCTTACATTACCATCACAATCTTTGTTGTTGCACTGTGAACCAACAGCACAAAGGGAGCGCTACTTTGCAGATGCCTCTGAGAAGCTTGTTTATCTGCATGCCTTAATAACATAACATGAAAATAGCTGTGAACTCCTTATAGGTGAGAAGGCCAGCAGGTGGGATTTAAGGTTCCACAGCTCCATCAGCACTGGTGTTTTTTTGTTTTTAACAGTGGCTGTAAATCACCCCATATGGTCAAGGCACAGTGGCAGGGCTCCACACAATGGCCACATAAACACCTCAGCATAATTACACAAGCACGCAAACACACACACTCTCTCTCACACATACTCACACTCATATACAGAGCATCAACAGTGAAAATGGTGCACACTGTATTACATAATTGATACTCCTCTAACAGCCAGTAGCTCCATTTGTCCACTTACAAACCCCCCAAGAGGACACAGTGTCCATTTAAGACACCAAACTATATATAAACACACAGACACATTCACTTCAGTCACGCATGCACATGCTCACACACACAGGTTGTTTCTGGATTTATGAGCAGCATGACAGCCGTACATACCTCACTTTGTGGTCCTCTTCGGTCTCTTTCTATGTGTTCCTCAGCTCTCCACCTCTCTTTACATCCTTCGCTCTCTTTCTACCACAGACACACACACACACATACACACACACAGACAGTGTGTTTGAATCTGACAGATTTCTCTCAGCTCAGTACTCTCCACCCTCTCTCTCTATTTCTCAGGGACACACACACACACAAACTCGCTCACTCAAAAAACAGCCCTCCCTCTCTCCCGCCTTTCTTTCTTCCTTCCCTCTCCTGCCAAATAGCCTCTCCTCTCGCTCACTCACTCGCGCCAGAGCTGCCTCTCTCCTCCCCACTCTCCCTCTCCGCCATGCGAAGCAGCGCAAAAAGCCACGCCCCCGCGCTCTCTCCTCTCCTCTGGGCGGCTATAAATACCGCTGCTGCTATGAATATACCGTCTTTCTCCCTCAGCATCCCTCGCTCCTGCTCTCTCCCCCCCTGCATCCATCCTTCCCCCTCACCTACACTGCACCACCCTGCAACCCCCACCAATGTTTTTCTAAATGTTTCCTAATGACCTTGTATTATTTTCCCTTGCAGCACACGACAGCATCCTTTTACACACACACACACACACACACACACCTTACTGTCATGCAAGATGCAACCGTCGACACACAAAAACACAAAAAGGGCCACAGGATCACATAAAAGGCAACCACAGACAGGAGCGATTGGTACTACCAGTCTCTTTTGCTTCCTGTCTATCGTGTCGGATGTGGTGCGTATTCCCCCCCTCCTCCTCACAGCTCAGAAAAACACGCTCGGATCGAGAGACGCGCACCGACAGCAGATCGCACCGTACTCCGCTGCACAAATTAATTCTACCTTCATCACTAATAGCATTAACACCTGCTCGATGATGAGTCAATCTGCATGTAGCCATGATTAATGGACACCCCTGTAAGAATGCAATAAGTCCCCATGAAATCCATTATGTTAGATGAGTGAACGAGCGGGATACTCTGCACATTTCTTCCACGCGTTCCAGCTTTTATCTGATGAATGCAGGAGGATGAATGCAGTGTAGTAATAATATGACATGGATAAATGATGCTCCTGCACCTGCAGAAGTTGACTGATTTAAAAATAAATAAAAATAAAATAAAACCAGAGAATGGATCTTATACTTTCAGTACAGTAGGTATCATGAACGCTGAGCAACATCCTGTCTCTGCTCTTCCTCACTGGCAGCAATAATGTTGGGGAATGAGGTTACTAACATCTGGAGCAAGCGCGTTATGTGCACCAAGGGTGCACTTAAACAGAATCAAATCTTCGCCTGCAGGCTGTATAGTATGTCACGGACGTAATTAATCCTCCACCACCAGCACCACCACTGCTGATGTGCTACAACTTCAAATGAAACCTACCAACAACAAAAAAAAAGAAAGAAAGAAAAGGAAATGTGAGGAGCACACAGACAAAGAATCCCTTCTGACTGAAAAGGCTGTAGATCATACACATCCTGCCTCATTATTGATACCAGCAGATAAAGGAAACCACAGGGTGCCTATGCAATGCCATATAAGGTAACCCCTCATCTTATGTTGCTTCTCTGAGTGCTGTGTAGCACTTTTGATAGATGCCTGTGAGATAAGTGTCAAAATTGCTGCTAGAATAACAGAAAAGTAACCTTCACCAGCACATAAAGATGTGACTGTAAATGTAAAAAAAAAAAAAAATTTAAAAATGCTCTCGCGCCTTGTAATTAGCATTTCAATTTTGGCTGTTTGAAATCAACACAGTGCTGACGACTGAAATGAAGAGAAATGACAGGAAAGACTCAGACGTGATGGGCAGTGTGAACAGCTTTATTTCCATTAATTGTAAGGGAGCTGATAATGTTTTGCCCCAAACTGTTTGGTGCACAGTATGCAATTATGAGTCACCAGCTCAGAGTCAGCGTGACAGCATGAGTGTGAGTGCGGAGGTTTATGTGTGAGATTGTGCTGCGGAGGGTCAAAACCGAGCATAGGGTTAGTTCAGGCGGGCCACGGAAATCAAGCTCAGCTGAGACCCTTCTACACAGTTAATTGACAAATGTCAAATAGGGCACGCTATTTAAGCCGGTTCAGTCTGCCCACGGTTACTGTCTATAACAGTACTGATGGATCTGTATTTACATTTTGAGAGGATGTAGCAATGCAGCTGCATTTTTTTAAAACTGTTTCCTCAATCCCTGGGTCAGTGCCAGGGCTGCTTGCAGGTCCTGTTTCGTGTGTGCATGAGTCTTTAGAGAGTGCATCAGGGCTTTGTGCAACTCCCCGGGGGCGACCAGGTGGAGTCTCAGCATCGAGTGGACCAGCTGGGAGCGAGCGTTGCCGATGAAAGAGTGTGACAGGAAGGATGCGAGCCCTCCTCCTCCTTTCATGGTGTAGAGAGGGACTCTGACCATTCCCAGGACCTGGAGTCAGGCAGAGAAAGAAGGTGGTGAGGATCAGAGCATGAGATCAGGTAAATCGCTGCAATCAGTCACTCTGGAAGGACACATTACCTCCAAACCGTGATCTGCTGCAGTGGATGCAGCTGCCCTCTCCACCTCCCTAATCTGCTCTTCATCCATCTTCTTCACGTAAAAGTGAGTGATAAGACGTGAAGAGGAGGAGGGGGAGGAAGGAGCTGCATAGCAAGAATCCACATGATCTTCAACAGAGATTGGCAAAGCCAGGCCCAGCTCTTCTGACAATTCCCTGCTAAGCCCCGACTCAAGGGTCTCCTCCGAAGGGTTAACGAGCCTGAAGTGTGAGAATCAAAGGTCAGCAACAGATGTGAAAGTAGATAAACGATGTCAGAGGCACTGCTCTCCTGACAATAAATCACACTAATTGAAAGGCTAATTCAATTTAAAGCCCTAAGTTAGTTTGTCCAGGTGATGGTGCTGATCACTTCTCCTTCAAGTCACTAGATTTCGAGTCTCATCTTAGAAAATGTGCAAAAAAAAATATAGTAACAAAAGCTCAACCTGAGCTGTTACAATAACAATATAATGGACGAAATGCACAGAGGCTAAAGATACAGTTTCACTGTGTTTGACAGTGCGCAAAGATAAAAACATTTGCCAAAGTGATCAGAGTGACGTTAGTATCCAGAAGAGCACAAGTACAGCAAAAAGAAAGCAAAAGGTAACAGCTAGCGGGATGTTAAATGCCTAAAAGCGAATCGCTTTGGATATCAGCCAACAACCGTTTTATACGGAACACTTGCTTATCAACAGCTCCGTGTGATTCTAACATATCAAGTTTGTCACGTTTTCTTTTTTTATATATATTTCAGAGCAATTTATAGGCTTCTATAAAAATCTCTGAAGGAGTTTAGGTGTGTTTTGTACTGTTGCCATAGTGTCAAAGCATTGGTCAACATCCAGACGCACATTTCCATTATCATTAGGAGAACACCGACAACTAAGAGCAGCTCTTTAGAGAGGTTCTTAACCCTCGTAAATGTCACTGGAAGAGACAGAAAAGGCCACTTGCTGTCGTGCAATTAACTGAAGTGACCGCTGCTTTTACATGTATCGTGTCTCAGCAGGTCACTCTCTAACAAAGCTGTGTGGACAGAACTGTGACTGGGCACAGTTGGGAGTCCTTTTTAACACGTTTATTATCATTATTGGTATCATTATCAATCTTTGTTACGCTTACTGAGTATTTTCTGCTGTGGTGCTTGGATTCTTTTGTTTTTTTTCCCATAGAACATGAGTGATAACTCATGCACAGCTTAATTGTGGCCCCACAATTAATAATAGGTTAAAATGGTGCTATTATGCATGCCCATATTAACAGGGCTAAAGATTTAAATAATGAGGAAAGTGTGAGTTAAGGCAATCCTCATGAGCCAACAGTTCAGGCTTCAGTGTTTGGGTCACAGAGCGGGAACAGCCCCACCCACATACCGTTAACAACATCTCTTCTTGAGGGGCAGCCAATCAGAAGAAAGTTGTCTGAAAGGGAAAGTGAACTTAAAGGGACAGTAGCTAAAAGTGTGGCTACATAGAGGCTCAGTATAAGATGAATGACCATTTTGAATTGTGAATCATGCAAAGCTACTATAGTAGATCAAATCAGTTAAAAAAACTAAAATGGAAATAAGCAGTAGAGGGCCCCTTTGATGATGCGAGACGAGTGTAGTGCAGAATGAGCTGTGGTTCAAATAAACTCAAACTTTTTTTTTCCAGTTTGAGATGATTTTGCTTCCAACTTGGCACTGCTGCAGAGGGCAGTGACCCAGATGCTGTCTACAACAAATATATGGCTAAAAGTAACCATGAAATGTAGCGACACACTGTGTCAATACACAGACTTCAAAGAGCTCAGAAATTAAAAAACATTTTTTTTTTTTTTTAGAGAAACGTATAACCACATTTCAATAGAACAGCCATCTGTGGCACAACCTGCTCTAATGTAATTCTGGTATAACCTCAAACTCAAAATCAGCCAATAACTATTTGTTTGACTGGTCTAAGGCATAAGAAAGCCAAAGAAACTCAAACTCTCACTCAATTTATCCGGGCATGTAGAATCAGTCACAGTGCCAACAGACTGATGAGTTGAAGATATTAGTTTAGCATTCATAAGCAAAAAAACCCAAAACAAAAACATTTTGTCGCAAATAAAATGCAAATTTCTCATTTGAGCTGACGATGGCCACTGATACAAAGTGAACAGACTGCCTCCAAAAGGGCGACATGAATGTTTGTTCCAAATTGCAAATCGGAATTAACACCTTCAAGTCTGAGACCATGGTCCTGAACTGCAAAAGGGTGGAACACTCAGGGATGAGTTGTTGCCCTAAGTATATCAGGATCTAGTTTACAAGCGAGGGTGAGTGAAGCAGCAGACTGGCAGATGGATTTCTGTGGCGTCTACAGTCATACAGATGCTGTACAGGTATTCTGTGATAAAGAAAGAGCTGAGTGTGAAAGGAAAAGTGTGAGTTTACTGGTTGATCTACGCTTCTGCTCTCACTTATGACCACAAGTTCTGGGTGGAGGCAGCGGAAATGAGCTTCCTTCAAAGGTTGGTCCCTTGTCCAAAGAGTTTGAGGAACTTGGACATTTAGGACGCACTCAGAGTATAGCCTCTACTCCTACATATCAAAAGGAACCAGTTAAGGTGGTTTGGGCATGTCTTACTGACAGAAGATGCCAGGGCAGTCCCAGGACACAGATCATGTGTCCTGGCTGGCTTGGGAATGCCTCGGAGTCCCTCCCAGATGAGAAGGAGGAACTGGCCGGGGAGAAAGAGAGGGGACTTGTGCTTAGACTGCTGCCCCTGTGACTCTGACAAAAAATGGATGGATATGTATGAATGCCTGCACAAGTCTAACAGCTAACTTTAGTAGCAGACCAAATTTACACAACTAACTAGTGTTTTGGATGTTTAATGTTGCCAGGCAGTACACGTTTTTGAAAGATTTCTTCATACACCACCTGCAGCAGTATTCATATGTAGTTGTATCAATAGAGCTGCCACTGTTGCTATTTGCTGACGTAGTTTTCTCTTGTTTTGCATATGTCTCTATCATTTTTCAGCCCTGTCTCTTTGCCTCCTCGTTATATAATTTCACTGTGCTGGCAAATGAAATGCCAGAGATCCTGGCAGCGACTACAGTAAATCACAAAGGCACGAGTGATTCATTTAGCAGAATACTAATTAAGCAGTATGTGACAATCTCAATCTTTACAAATAGGGGTTTAAGGCAAGATAAGTCGCTTTAAACAAGAAGCCGTCAGGCACATTTTATCATCGCCAATCCTTGCAGGACGAGGATTGTAGCATCAGTGTTTGAATGTTTGTTCTGAGCTGTAAAGGGTTTCTTTTTTCTTTCTTCTGTGAAGAACAAGAAGGCTTTACAAACCAAAAGCTAAAATGTACCTATGTTTGCAAGGAGCAAAAGCAGCACCAGGAAAGACTCACCCGCCAGGGAAACCCAGCAGACCGTCAAAGCGCATCTGCATCTGTGGAAGTGACACACAGAAATATGCCTGTTCACTCAAAGAGGCAGACATGTAAAGGTGTGTGTGTGTTAGAGTAGCTCAAATGACACACACACACACACACACACACACACACACACACACACACACACACACACACACACACACACACACACACACACACACACACCTCACCAGTATGATATGTTTGATGGGAATTCTTCCAAACAGCTGAGCTTTCGTGTCAGCGTAGAGCATCACATGGCACGCATGCCTGCAGCCTGAGCATGCCAATGCCTCCGCCCTCGACAGCTGTCCACTCGCCATCTACAAGCATACACACAAACACAGTGCTAAATTATACAGTCACAGTTCAGTGCTTCCTGAACACACTGGCTGGATGCCCTCTTTTGCCATGTGCTACCAAAGTGACATCATCCTATTATAGCTGCTCTTTTTGGTCATTTGTTCTCCCTCATATGCTGAGCCAACAGACCTTAATGAAACCTACTGATTAGCTGGAAGGCCTGTGGGCTTGTATGCAGAAAAAAAACACAACAGATCTGAGTGACTTGCATTGGGAAAGCTTTAGCTCCCTCTACTGGGGTGGAGCAAACTGTCGAGTGAGATAATCCCTGTTCCATAGTGAACTTTTCCTCAAAATTTGGAATATGATTATGAATTTTGACACAGTTGCCTTTCATTCAGTATCATAACCAAGTCAGCACAGAAACGGCAAGTCTATTTTATGAGGATATGGAGGAGTATGTGAGACTCAGAAGAAGAAAGACAAATGAGCTGGGATTGATCAGAGATGTGTGTGAGACTTGCTGAAAACTACAACAAATGGTTGCAGGCTGTTCCAGCAAAAAGGAATCACAACTGACTATTAGCATTGGGGAGGGAATTAATTTAGACCTTGGTGGTTTTCATTTTTATGAAATTATTTTGTTTCTGTGTGCAAAGTAAAACAATGTAAGCATACAAAATAAAACAATTAATCTGTATTTCCTCAGATTAATGTATTCTTTGGTCAGCTTTTTAAAATTCTTTATAGTTCATTAAAATTGAAAGAGGCTGTCATTTAAAAATGGACTAAAGATGCTTTGCTCAAAGTCAGTTATTTAATTTAGATTTTTTTTTTCAGTTTCAGTCTTTTATACTTTAGGCTCTAACTGGAAAAATTATGCTAAATCCTCAGCAGCCAGGGTTAGTGTTGTATATTAGCAAACCATATGGGCCTTACGGGCACCACCGACTGGAGACCCACTACAGAGAAGATCCAATTAAGACTCAGTGAGTCAGAATATTGTTTACTGAAAACCAACAATGAACAGCATTAAAACACGCTCTAAAACCAAGGTTTTTATGATTGAAGTATGACTGCCACCTTCTGACAGTGGTAGAACATTACATCCAAACAGCTGGCACTAAAAATAAGGTGAAATATACATTTCAGACCAAACAAAAAAACAAAAAAACGTCACATTGGCCATAACATTTAAGATATTTTTTAACTTTATATGCAGTTAAATATTGGAAACTCATGCTCATTTCTAATTTTGATCGATTGCCTATCAAAATAAATCATGTCTGGCCTATGATGACATTTTGTGTGCTGAAGTGGCTGAAGGTGCAAACACAGACGTCTCTGCAACAGTGTATGAATAAAATACATCACCATGTAATCCAGAACTGAGAAAATGCTAATAACCCACAAATTGGTTTTTGTGGAACTCTTTCCTTTGATCTGTCAAAACATATATATTTTGTCAAGTTTATTCCTTTTTTCAGTTTTCCTGCTCGAATTCAAATCCATTCTTTGCAGTTGTGCGCATGGATGTTTTAATGATCCTTAGATGGCTCAACAATCTGATTCCCCAGATTCGTCCTTTTCACCGAGCGGTCGTCTCTATTGCCAGTATGACACACAGGTATCACTATCATCTTCAGACAACAATGAAATTATTTTTTATTAAAAAAATAAAATAAATTATTTAATATTGACACGTGTATGCATTTGCACGAGCTGGAGATGGAAACCTTTTTTGTCGAGGTCTTTAATCTTGTCAAACTATATGACATACGACCACGCGGTGAAAAAGACGAATCTGCGGATCCAACATCTGAAACATGGAGAATGGAATATGTAAACAAATCCAACCAGTTAACAAAACAGTTAACCTGCAACACCGGAACTCTCCGCTCTGCGCTTACACTTCCCCATCGTTTAGCAAGCTAAAATGCGCGGTAAAGGCTGGGTAAGCATGGACGTTATAAACATGAGTATATTTCCCCAGCATTAGGTTCTCTTAATAAGATTGATGTCTTAACTAACATTCAAACACTGTTATCGTACACTTTATAAATTATTTTCTTAATATTTTGACATAATAGCAACACGAAATAAAGGTTAGTGCCGCGTTTGGTCAAACAATATTACTTCTAATCAAAAATGAAGTAAACCCGCTTGTTTAATAAGTCACACGCATTTACCTCTGTTCTACATTAAATGCTGTCTCATTCTTCAGTCAGCAGTGCCTTTTCAAAACTTCTGGCTTTTCCGATGACGTTCTGGCCGTTGATTGGCTAAGCGAAGCATGTGGTTCCGGTTAGCTCCCCGGTCAACCAATCAGCTTTGGTTAGTAGTAGCCGTTCAGCCGGTTCATCTCGTTATGCGTCAGGGATTGAAGCGTGTACATGCTCCGGTTAGGTTTTGTGATGCACCGTGGAAGGTAAAGGGTGGCAGTCTTAATCGCTCTCTGCATAAGTGTGAAAGTACTTGGTGAGAACACAGTCCAAGGGAACCTTCTAGGTTGATGGCTAACTAGCTTCTACTACCGGTGACTGCTAACAGACGGTGTTAAACGACCTGGTTAAAACTTAAGCAGGTAAGTTAGCCACATGTGTTGTTTTGATGTTATAAACGATCCTATAACACGATTATTACAGAAAAGAAAATATTTAATGTATTGTTTAATGTTACTATCGATGTATGACGTGTTTCATTGTAATTATTGTTATTTAAATATAATTTATTTTAGTATTTACGCTTGTGTATTGTGTATATGTATATGTGTATCATTTAAAGCAGTTTAGGAAATTTAAGTGATGAGCAAACACTGCGGTAATAACGTTAGCAGTAATAGTAATCTTATTTGGTTATCCTACTTCAGGTGAATGAGAATGGCGCAGGGACTACCAGACGAGATGCTGATGAACTCGGCTTTGATAAAAAAATTGGCAGAGGAGGCAAAAGACTCAGCCGTTACACAGGGTGTCCTAATGAGGCTCCAGGAGACCCCCAACTCATCTGAGGTGCGAATTATACACACATGTAGCATGTAGCGGTTGTAGCATTGAGGGTTGGCTGTAGGTCAGGAGGTAGAGCAGGTCATTGATCGTGGCTGGCTGCTCCAGTCTGCATGCCAAATGTCACTGGGCAAGATACTATCCACAAATTGTGTGAATGTGTGTGAATGTTAGATAGAAAACACATATAAAAAGTATAGAAAAAAGTGCCTGTATGAATGGGTGTGAATGGGTGAATGAGGCAAGTTGTATAAAGTACTTTCAGTGCTTAGGTAGAGTAGAAAAGCACCATATAAGAAACAGTCCATTTACCATTCACATGTAGAAGCACTTTCACTGGTTTTTCATTGTTGGATAAGTGTTAGTATAGTTATATAATCTTAAAGAGGGAATGTGTACTTGTGAAACTCATATAAAATTTGCAAGTCTGCTCAGGTATGATTTTGAATCGTCTTATTATATTCATTCTTGCCCCATCCAACAACTGCACCTGAAAGAGTAAAGCTACAGACCATGAGAATACATTTCCTCAAAATATTCATTCAGGGGAAGACGCTACATATTTGTAACATGTAGTGTATATTTGTAATATTATACTTTTCCTGGTGTTAGGTTTAGTGAAGCCACGTAACAAAGCACGTTCCCTTGTTGCTTTTGGATTATGGAACTACTGGGAACATGTTGACTGACTGATTCTTAAACAAACAGGTAACCAGTGAAGGGAGGCTAAAATTTCAGTAATCTGGTCTTGCTTCTCTTTAGTCTTTAATAGGTAACCTACAGTATTTTAGACCAGCTGCAAACGTGTAATAGATGTCATATTAAGACCAATCCACAGTTCTCCTGGCAACGGACAAACCCAGAGTCGTCCATCGGATTGCCAGACGGAGACTTTTGGGAATATAGCGTATGACCAGTTGCAGGTCTTTAAAACAAAGGGTTAATTCAATCACACTGAACTGAATGAGACTGACCTTAACAACTGATTTAATCTGTTTGTCCAGTTTTAGCTGAATGTGATTGAATGGCCATGAGCAAAGTAGTGAAGTAGTTATACTTTAAATAAATGCTTAAACTAAAAAAAAAAAGTAAGTAAACATTTTTTTCAGCATCTTTAACAGAATTCATATGTTAGGTAATAAGCCTCAACAACAAAGATCACATACCAGTGGAATGTTAAACCGTTGCTGATGAAAAGGCCGTGTTGAATGTGAAGTCATGTTAGGAATTTGTTCTGCCTTAGGGCAGAGGATTTCAGAGAGATCTTTATTAAGCCCGTGTTTTGAGTCCACAAGCCATCGCCAATGTTTGTCCAACAGTTTTGTTTGTTTTGTTTTGTTTCCCCTGGTCAGCACTCTTTTCTCACATTTTACATCTTGTTTTTCAGGTGGTCTCCTTTGCTCCATTCACACTGTTCCCCACACCTGTACCCAAAGCTGTATTCTCCCAGGCTCTGGCAGTGCAAACACACTACAACACCCTGGTGGACAAGATTAGTCAGGATGCAGACTTCCTACAAGAAGCTTTGGCTAGGTAGGATGCATTATGACCTCATGTATGTGGTTTGGAAGAAAAAAACTCATTATTGTCACAGTCTCTGAAGTCTGTCTTCAAATGACCCGTTAGTTTAATTCAAAATGAATACACTGTGATGAAAAACCTGCTGACAAGATTTGAACAAAGTGTCTGTTTACAGCACCATCGCTGTGGATGATTTCACTGCAAGGTTGTTCAAAATCCACCAACAGATCCTTAAAGAAGGCAGGTCACAGGTACGTCAGCACAGCCCCGATGACACTGGTGTTAGGGGGAGCTCAGGAGGCAGAGTCTGTAAGTTGGAAGTTTGGCGGATTGATTACCCAGTTTGTCCAGATTCCAGTTTTCTTAGGCAAGATGATGAACCCTGAGTTTCCCCCAGTGCATCCAGTGTGTGCGAAGTTAGACAAGGCAGTTTGGATGCTTTTGTGTGGTTGGGTGAATAGGGTTTGCAGTAAAATGCGCCTTTCAGTTAGAGCAAAGTGCTGCATAATTATCATTCCATTTCCCATCATCATTGTACTTGAGCTGTTTGGGCTCTAAGGCCTTGGTGTGTTGCTAAATCCAACAAAGCTGTTTGCTTGCACTCAATAAGGATTCAAAAGTAGTGAAAAGAAAGAGTGTATAAAAAATCAAACAGTTTCTAGTTAAGGAAGATTGGATTTCAAATAGAGTATTTGTAGAATGAACATCTTGGGTCATCACTGCAGGTGTGAGGTTGTGTAAACGTTTACAGGAATGATTTTTCAGCCTATCTGTTCCTTTGGGGTGCTGGCTGTTTTGGGTTACCTTCACCACTATGTATTTTCACCATGAAAACCTTTCTATCTGGCTTCTTTTGGGGCCATTTTTGGAGGGAATTTTTAAAAAAGTTGGAAATGGAACGATGATGCAAGCTCTTTTCTTTTTGGGCTTCGTATGCTAGCCATTAAATCCTGAGAGATTTCTTATGAGAAAGAAAGACAGGGAGGAGAGGGGTGAGAGGCATAAGCTATATTTTGGCTAAAACTAAAATCTTGTTTCAATTATCAGCTGTTTTGCTTTATTGCTTGACAAAGTTCTTCACAATTTTCTAAAACTGTGACATCTTTAGATCTGCTGTTGCATAGAATGAAGAAAACCATTAGGTTCTTACAACAGTGTAGCTGGGACCATAAAAACCTATTAATGGATTATAAAGTGACCAAATGCTGCAGCTGGGATTCTTTGCCTTTGTTACAGTCCATTGTGTTGGGTCTCAATCGGTCTGACTACATGCTGGACCAGAGAGAGAATGACACACCATCGCTAAAGCAGATAGAGATCAACACCATTGCTGCCAGTTTCGGAGGCCTTTCATCGCGCACGCCAGATGTACACAGGTAAGCAGGTCATTTATGTGTCACCCATATTCTGTAGGTTAGCCACTAGAACTCAGCAGTAAGAGTGATCATGTTGGCCAAGACCTTCAAATATATTTACTGTCATCTTTATAGCCACCGTTTCACACAGCTGCTTTACCCTTATTTTAAAAAAAAGATAAATAAAAACCCCACATTCCTTTATTTCCCCTACAGTTGACACCAATCTCTTTGCTTTGCTGTCAGTAGGTTTGGGATTTAATACAGCTATAAACAATCTACAGGGTGGGCCATTTATATGGATACAGCATAATAACATGGGAATGGTTGGTGATATTAAAGTCCTGTTTGTGGCACATTAGTATATGTGAGGGGGCAAACTCCTCAAGATGGGTGGTGACCATGGT